ACTAACATGCCAATCACGATTATTATGAAATGAAACACACCTTTTACACGCATATTTTAAAGAATATCGTCGACGCCCAGTAAAAACACTCTGGGCTTATAATCGTGAATGCCCTCAACTCGATAAATACCAAGTAAAAACATAGGGATAGGCTTCATACTCGGGAGGGGCTTACGATCGGGGAAGTACGGTACTTTAACGCAATTGGGCTTTCACTCTCAGAATACTGTGGTTCAAACGCATAAGGCTCTAACCCAAGTTTTAAAAAGCACATTGTGCATATAAAAGTTGAGTTTATACTAATAGTACACAATGCTTGGCAGCATGAACGGCTATGTACAATGGCGTATATAAATGCGATCAGATACTAAAACGTCATAGCTTTGAAAAGTACCCGGATGTTAAATATGTTCGTTCGTTAATTATTCCCCTCCATGAATGGCCTCCATGGCAAGCACTTCAAATGTCTATCCAAGCTACAGTTATAATTAAAACAAAATTAAACCACTGCAATATTATTTCGAATACAGTTTAGAATATACACAACTATAAATTTAGGCCGCATTTAGGTTCGCTTTAAAAACAACAACAACAACAATGACGAACAGACATTTTTCATTTAATATACCTTTCCTATCCATCCTTTGATAATACATTCAAGATAAAAACCAGCTCAATGAATATGTTAAAACATAACAGAGTCAGAGACAAAACGTTCTAAAGTATTTTTATTTACAAGGTTTGATATCAAGCACCCAATTAAAATCAAGAATCCAAGAAAACGCAAGAGTTACTCACCATGTTTGCATGGGCTTGTCTCGGCCGGTCTTCTGATGTATATTGATACAAGAACTTGTTGATTTGAGAATGAATGAGCCTATCTCGGATTTCAATATCATTTATCAATAGAATCTGTCTGGATGCCTGTTCTGTGTTTTCAGGGTACAATTCATACTGCATCCGAACCTTCAAATAAGCATGCATGCGCAAAAGTGAAACAAGCATCACATACTGACACTAGACTCAAAGCTATTCTGGACATGTGTATTTGTGGTTTGAAAAAAAGTAATCATACATTGACGGGTATGTATGAGTGGTTATTTAGGTACTGACAATATATTGCCCAAGATTATCACCAATCCATAAACACAACCTTGTTTCCTTTTGTTTTACAACCAGGTATTATTTTTACATCATATACATAAACCGCTGTCGCTTACCTTATTCATCTGCAGCTCCATGAGTACGTCAAGTTTTCGACAAGGCCCTCCCCTTGACTTCCACCCTAAGGTACCACCTCTGTTACCAGCGAATGAAGGAGATCCTGTCATGACTTTTGACCTGAAACACACATTGCAAGGAAGCATTTTGAAAGAAATGTAAAACATAATTAAATTCAATTAAAAGAATCTCTTCAGAACAGATTTTCAAAATTAAAATACTGAGCATATGTGAAATGCATTGTGGGATTTTTAAGCATAATTCAAATTTTGAACTTCTTCAAGCATGTTACTGAGCACATGTGCAATGCATTGTGGGAGATTGAACAGAATTAAAATTTTGTTGAGAATGTTACTAAACATATATGTAATGCAACACATTATTTGTTTACTGAAAACAAGATAGCCCAAGTAAACACACTCAATGAAAGTGCAAAATTAGTCCAGTAGTGAATATTTAAATACATGTAACAACCATTTTACTACATTACCTTGTCTTCTCAGGTGTACTAGTCTTACTACTGGGTGAACTAGGACTACGTGACCCTGTTAAATAAATTGGTTACACATATTATTTATCATGTAGTAAAATGTACTATCTGTTAAACTTGAACAAACTGGGCCATAAATCACGGGATTCATAGGTTATGCATGTCAGAACTTTAATAATTTACTTTTTATCTGGACAAGCTAAAATCCAGTCATGCACTGCAGTGTTGAATTCTGCTTTGGAACACACTCGGCAAAATTAAATTGGGAAGTAGGAAATGTTCCGTGTTCAAAATTCACAATTATCATACGAATTTAGAAGAAGGTGGCCTCAACTATTCTAGGAACACTTCACATTAGAATTTGATTTATCACAAAGATCGTATTAAAATCATCAGTTCCAAAGTCCTGCCTGTGATTTTGGGGTCCCCTGCATAGACCATTTTGTTGAGTCAGCAATATTCTGTAGCTAATAATAATCCAAATTTTTCACTGATTTATCCCTCCTACCTGGTGAATTCCTCTCGTCACACGATGACTCAAAGTCTCTTCCACCATAGATATACCACACAAGCGACATCTCTTTTAATGTGTACCGACACACTGCAGGAGGGAAATGGTCAGGTGGTTTCAGCAGATCCGTTTTACCGGTTGGCAAACTGAAGTGATTCTTCACAATTTTGATAGTCTGATCAGATAAGATCTTTACTTCTGGTTCCCCATCTCTGGGCTAAAAAGAAAAAACAAACAATTAAGTCCAAAAACCTGAAAATGTCAACAAATTTGAGTACAATCTGAAGATTTGGTACATGTATCATGAACACATGTCCCTCCCAGCTAAGATTTTACCATAATTTTATTACACTTTATCATATACCTCGTATTGCCCGGCCTCGTAACGCTATCGGAATCCCGATGCGCGAGCCGTGCAATAATTTTCCATATCATGCCTGGGCCCCGTTTACCATATTTGGTAAACGTGTCTATTTTCTAGAACTACTTTCTGTTTATAAACAACGCGCATAATTTGCGTCTGCGCTTCGATAATGGCTGACGATATTATTCTGTGGATGGAAAATTTACCGAAAAAACAGTTGGACTCATTATTAACCTGACGAAAGCCGGCATTCCACCACAACCAATCATAAATATAACTGGTCACAAAAACGTGTCAAGTTTACAGCACTACGATACGCACATTCAGCTGGCATCG